ATACAATTCAATTTGTGTTTAGGTGCAGCAAATTCCCTAGCTGATGGTGTACCATTCCTATACTGTAATCTGATGTTACTTATGCCAGATCGTCGTACCACCGCTTGCGCCCGTCTTTTAAACTCTTCATCAATAAATGGCAATTTTAGATAAATATATCTCATCTCTTCATCTCTAGTCGAATTGGAGTTAGCAGATCTTCTTATAACATTTCTTACAAATTTCCTAGGGTATTTGTTGTCAACAAACAATTTAGTAACTTTACGGAGGGATTCTTGTCGTGAGGTGGGATCTGTTGAGCAAGCTATAGCTCGCTTAGTTTCTCCTATGAGAATAGCGCGTTTGGAAGCGATAGAACCATGGCTATCCCACGGCGTAATACAGAGACTGTGAATATAGGCTTTATATGAAGAGCTTAGTGTTGAGAACTGTTTGATTTCCCTGTCAAAGGAGACCATGGTATCTAGAAATGGTAACTGATTATTGTTTGGTAGCTCTAATGTAAATTTGATGTTGTCATTAAGTTCATTGACCATGGTTAAAAGTTTTTCTCCCGTGAGATGTTGTGATAAAAGAAAAACAAAATAGTCATCAATAAATCGTTTAAGAATAGCACATCCATTAGATCTTTCCACAATACGAGTATCAAGTTCGTTCATATAGATAATAGCCAGTGTAGGGGCTAGATTATTTCCCATAGCTAAACCTGATATTTGTTTGTATCCTTTATCTCCGATTACTATAGTATCACTTGCCAGGCATAGGCGGACTAATGTATCAAAGTCGTCATCACTTAATGCCCACAGCTCGCAATCATTCTTGTGTTTGTTGAAAAATCGTTTAGCAACAGTAAATATACTTGGCGTATTGGGGTTAATGTCCTCAAGTGGGATAGATCCATACAGATTGCAAACATCAAGGCTACAGAAATTATAGACTGATTCCCCGTCCATGCCCTTAAGAAAGTTTATAAACTCTTGTGTGTTCTTTAAATGAGCTGGAACGTGTTTGAGGAGCGAGTTTAACGATCTCGCTAGAAACTTAGATAGGGATGTAGCTGGTGCGTCTGTGGCTGCGTGTATGGGTCGACCTTTGAGGCATCCTTCTTTATGGTCTTTAGGTAAACAATAAACAGGACATGGCATTGGTTCGCTATATATATATATATATATATATATAAATATATATATATATATATATATATATATATATATATATATATATATATATATATATATATATATATATATATATATATATATATATATATATGGATTGTCCAGTGCTAAATAGTTCATAAAATTTGGTATGGTAGACCATGAAGAGATTGCGCTATTGATCACTCTCGAAGTAAGCATATATATATATATATATATAAGCATATATATATATATATATATATATATATATATATATATATATATATATATATATATATATATATATATATATATATATATATATATATATATAACAAGATACAAGTGTTGTATGTAGAAAAGGTTTCAATGTGCAACCAAAAGAGACATTTATAACGTAAAATAAAATAAAAGCCACTCAAATTTTGCACAAACGTTTTCGCTTTAATGTTAGCTCCTCAGGTGCATATTTAAATATGCACCTGAGGAGCTAACATTAAAGCGAAAACGTTTGTGCAAAATTTGAGTGGCTTTTATTTTATTTTACGTTATAAATGTCTCTTTTGGTTGCACATTGAAACCTTTTCTATATATATATATATATATATATATATATATATATATATATATATATATATATATATATATATATATATATATATATATATATATATATATATATATATATATATATATATATATATATTTATATATACAACAGAATAGCTGGCTACGATCCGAGAGAAACCAATACTAAAAATGTATTAAAGTAATAAAGTTTTAATTTTCGACTGAATGTCTCAGCCTTCCTCAGAAATAATATTACTAATAATTTCTAACATATATATATATATATATATATATATATATATATATATATATATATATATATATATATATATATATATATATATATATATATATATATACACCAATAATATGCAAATATTACAATAATGATAACTAATTAAGCTTGGTGATAGACAAAGAAGTCACTGTTGCACAAAATCATGACTATCATTTAACCCTCCCCGATTAGTCAAAAGGGTCCCAATCCAGAAGTTTTCACATTCCAACAGATTACCACAACGCTGATCAATCAGCATAAATTTCAAATATGAATGATCAGCCCCGTGGCAATCCAGGAAGTGATTAACAATACTACAAGTTCTGTGCCCACGCTTAATGTGTGACTTGTAGTTTGCAAGGCGGGCCTTAAAATTAACAGTAGAACCAACACCCTGCAAACCACAAGCCAAACATTGGGCAAGATATACCACTGCCTTGGACGTACATGTAAGCGATTTACAGATTTTAAAAACTTTCTTGGTAATAACGGAACGAAAAGTGTGCCCTTCTAACAAAAAATTCTTACAGCAGTCACAACGCTTAGCTGTACAATTAAAACAACCGAATTGTCCTACTTCAGTATTTTCCTTGCCATATGGGTTGGAGGGAGCCAATAACTCCTTTAAATTGGCGTTGCGCTTAAAAGACACACGAATAACCTTCTCGGGTAGAATATCTCTGGCCTTCTCATCACCACAGATAATGGACTTGTGATGTTTATTTATGATTTTTCGTATGTCTGGTCCACGCGGATTATACTTAGTAACTAAACAACAATATCCTTCATTGGACTTTTTCTTACTTTTGCGTGCATCTGCCCTAGAAATTTTACCTACTTCCTTAAATTTATCTAAGACATGTTCTTTTTGTGTCCGCATTCAATTAAATAATTAGCATATTCCGCACTTTTGGCACGAAAGTCCTCTTCCTTGGAACATATCCTACGTAGTCTAAGCGCTACACCCTTTGCGATACCCAGTATCTGTGATCTGGGGTGACACGAATTGCCATTCAGATACAAATGCGCATCGGTGGGTTTACTATAAACCGACGTTTCCAAACGACCTTCTTCGATCGTAATAAAGAGGTCCAGAAAACTCAAAGAACTCCCGCCTACTTCCATAGTAAATTGTAAATAGGAGTCGAATGAATTTAATGTATTGAAAAAACTGTGCAGTCTTTCCACCGTACCACGCCAAAGTGCAAATGTGTCGTCCCGAAAACGAAACCAGGATCGCAATTCAGGGTACAACGCCTTAGACTCTAAAACCTTTTTATCGATATTCTCCGCTACAATATCTGCATAGGAACAAGAATTTTTAGGTCCCATAGCAGTACCATTCTTTTGAAGCCAAAATTGTCCACGGTAAGTAGAACAATTTTTCTTCAAACAAATTTCTAATGCCTCAATAATGCATTCAACAGGCAGATCCAAACTATCCGAGAATTCCGTTAATTTGCAACGAACTCCCTCTACCCCCGTGTCATTATCTATAGAAGGAAACATGTTGATAATATCAAAACTCACCAACATGTCTCCGTCTAATATTCCTTTTTCATTGAGACTATCAAGTATCCCCAGCATGTGCGAAGTATCCCTTACACGGCAAGAAATGGAATCCACTACAACTTTACAATACTTTTCCACAAACAGAGACAAATTCTCCGTGGGAGTACCACAGCCAGAAGTTATAACTCTAGCTGGGTTGTTGACCTGATGTGTTTTTATCAAGGGATAATTCACACCTGGGTGAGCACTGGTATTCTCAGTAATAAATTCAATCCACTTATCTGATAATCCCCAAGGCTTCCACTTATCTACCCACTTGTCAATTTCTACAATAGTTTTTTGCGAAGGATCTTCGCTTAAGACTTCAAAAGAACTCCGGTCCATCTGTTCCTTCACTTTACTCTGATCTAATTCACTGTTCAAAAACACAAAATTGTTACCTTTATCTTGTATTCGTATGACCGAATTACGTTTCTCCACTGGTGTAGAACGAAATTCTTTCAAAGCCTTTCTTTCTTCCGGTGTTACATTATCAGGAACATTCTTAAACGCAGTTTCTTTAAACAGATCTTTCTCAACACGGTCGAGAAACACTTCAATTGCAGAAACTCCAGCCAATGGAGGGTCTTTAGTCGACTTTCGTCTGGGTGGATTCAAAATGTTTTCGTCGCGTGTCCCTGGTTTATCATGGGAATGAAAGAATGCCCGCCATCTCACCTTCTTTGTATATTGCAGCCAATTTTGCTGTAAATCATTCCAATCTACACTAACTGGTGTAGGAACAAACGATGGGCCTCTTTTGCAAAGTTCTGCTAATGCTGGATTAATCGGTACCTCGGTAAGATTGATTGGTTGATGTCTCGCTTGAGCGGTAGAGTTTGCTGCTGTTGTTGGGTTGCAAATGCTGGTGTTGTTTCCAAGCGTAGGTTGAATGTTATCACGAACATACTTTTGTAACCGCTTTCTCTCATTGATGTCGTTGAATTTCTTAGTCCTTTCTTCTAGTATAATCCGCGTGGACCAGACATACGAAAAATCATAAATAAACATCACAAGTCCATTATCTGTGGTGATGAGAAGGCCAGAGATATTCTACCCGAGAAGGTTATTCGTGTGTCTTTTAAGCGCAACGCCAATTTAAAGGAGTTATTGGCTCCCTCCAACCCATATGGCAAGGAAAATACTGAAGTAGAACAATTCGGTTGTTTTAATTGTACAGCAAAGCGTTGTGACTGCTGTAAGAATTTTTTGTTAGAAGGGCACACTTTTCGTTCCGTTATTACCAAGAAAGTTTTTAAAATCTGTGAATCGCTTACATGTACGTCCAAGGCAGTGGTATATCTTGCCCAATGTTTGGCTTGTGGTTTGCAGGGTGTTGGTTCTCCTGTTAATTTTAAGGCCCGCCTTGCAAACTACAAGTCACACATTAAGCGTGGGCACAGAACTTGTAGTATTGTTAATCACTTCCTGGATTGCCACGGGGCTGATCATTCATATTTGAAATTTATGCTGATTGATCAGCGTTGTGGTAATCTGTTGGAATGTGAAAACTTCTGGATTGGGACCCTTTTGACTAATCGGGGAGGGTTAAATGATAGTCATGATTTTGTGCAACAGTGACTTCTTTGTCTATCACTAAGCTTAATTAGTTATCATTATTGTAATATTTGCATATTATTGGTGTATATATATAGGTTAGAAATTATTAGTAATATTATTTCTGAGGAAGGCTGAGACATTCAGTCGAAAATTAAAACTTTATCACTTTAGTACATTTTTAGTATTGGTTTCTCTCGGATCGTAGCCAGCTATTCTGTTGTATATAAATGTCGAACTGGCTGATACGAATATTGTATTTTGTCATCTATATATATATATATATATATATAGATGACAAAATACAATATTCGTATCAGCCAGTTCGACATTTATATACTATTACGCTCCTTCACTTCGGTGTTGTTGAGCACTCTGCGGAGTTGTTAATGGGTGTCTATTAGCGATAATGCAAAGCTCACTTCCCTTGTGGTCGTTTGAGCACTCTGGCCCCATTACGCTCTGCGCATGTCTGGATGTGTTGAGTCACCGTGTTGTACCACATGCCTTGGTGAGAGCAAGTTCATGGGGTATAAATACGAGTGTCTCACGTATCTAGACGTGTACCAAGCTGCACTGACGAGGCGTTGAACGCCGAAACATGCATGTCTGCAGATTGTACTATTACAGTCCTTCACTTCGGTGTTGTTGAGCACTCTGCGGAGTTGTTAATGGGTGTCTATTAGCGATAATGCAAAGTTCACTTCCCTTGTGGTCGTTTGAGCACTCTGGCCCCATTACGCTCTGCTCATGTCTGGATGCGTTGAGTCACCGTGTTGTACCACATGCCTTGGTGAGAGCAAGTTCATGGGGTATAAATACGAGTGTCTCACGTATCTAGACGTGTACCAAGCTGCACTGACGAGGCGTTGAACGCCAAAACATGCATGTCTGCAGATTGTACTATATATATATATATATATATATATATATATATATATATATATATATATATATATATATATATATATATATATATATATATATATACACACATATATATGTATATATATATATATATATATATAGTTATATGTAGTTAGATTTCGCTCTATGGCCTTTAGGTCATATTGAGCGCTCCACAGGATGAGCCATGCCGCTTGCGCATTGCGCACGCTCACTGCTTGCAGTTTGAGCGCTCTGGCATGGTTTTGATGTCCCACAATCGTGAGGCATCAAAGGTAACTGTAAATAGCAGTTACTTTCATCCTGCTCATCAGCACTACACTGATGAGGCCCAAAAGGCCGAAACGGAACCGTCTGTAGTTAGATATCGCTCTATGGCCTTTAGGTCATATTGAGCGCTCTACAGGATGAGCCATGCCGCTTACGCATTGCGCACGCTCACTGCTTGCAGTTTGAGCGCTCTGGCATGTTTTTGATGTCCCACAATCGTGAGGCATCAAAGGTAACTGTAAATAGCAGTTACTTTCATCCTGCTCATCAGCACTACACTGATGAGGCCCATAAGGCCGAAACGGTACCGTCTGTAGTTAGATATCGCTCTATGGCCTTTGGGTCATATTGAGCGCTCTACAGGATGAGCCATGCCGCTTACGC